ATTCATGCGTACACGCAAACACACATACAACCGCACGTATGCACATGTGCGCCCGTGTGTGCGCATAAATGCATCCGTATGTACGTACGAATGCAATCGCAGGCACACGCGTATTCAAGGACGCACTCACGCACACAAGTTCGGGCGCTCAGAAGTACACTTTTACACACGCAAGCAGATTTGCATAAACACAGAAACGCACATATACGCCCTCACGCACATACACATACGCTTGTAAGAACGCACACGCGGACACACACCGAGAGAAACACGCATCGACGCACGCAAATATGCGCGCCTATTCACACACGCGGACACAGACTCAAAATGCACACACAGGTATAAACAGACACACACGCGCATTCACGTTCTCGCATACACACACAGAAGCACACGTACTCAGACATGCCTGTACACATACATGTACGAATGTATTCGCATACGCACGCACACACGCATTCATGCGCACATACACACGAATGTACTCGCATATGCACGCACATCCACTTACTCATTAACATACATATACGTATGCATTCACGCACGTATGCACTCACACACTCAAACGCGCATACATGTACACATCCATAAAGGCGCATAAACAAGCACGCACATAAACACTCATACACTATGGTAGAAAAACCCACAATATTACATTGTGGGTTTTTCTACCATAGTACCAACATGGTAGAGTGTTTTCATCTTTCACTCATACACTAACACACGCATGTACTCGCACACGCACACACACGAACATACATACACTCGCACATGCACATCCATCCACACCCACCCACACACGCATCGTGCGTGCATCTATGAATGCGTGCATGTTATAGATATATAGTATATGTATATATATGTATGTATACACACATACATACATTTATATATATACATATACATTATGTATACATATAGATACATATAAATACACACACACACACACACACACAGATATATATATATGTATATATATATATATATATATATATATATATATATATATAATTATATATATTATACACACACACACACACACACACACACACACATATATATATATATATATATATATATATATATATATATGTGTGTGTGTGTGTGTGTGTGTGTGTGTATTGCACACACACACACACACATATATATATATATATATATATAACTACTATGATTATGCAATAGTTACAGCAATGCAGTTCCAAGTTCAAACAACCGCCGCGGCAGCTGTTCGCTGGTTGATAAGGAAGATCATCCAGGCGGCAAGGATGGATTTGCCAAATGACGTTTCAGTAATGAATTGAGTGAACCCTAAGTCATATAGTGAAATGGTAGGCTGTGGAATAATATATATATATATATATATATATATATATATATATATATATATATTATTCCACACACACACACATATATACATATATTATATATATTCAATATATTTATAATATATATTGTTATATATATAACACATATATAACAATTACATATGTATTTATCACTATATATACACATATATGTATATGCCTTTTTTGTAGCATCTTTGAACCTTTATTTCAGGATGTATCATGGTCGCTACAAAACACGATATCATCGAAGTTTGTACTGACATAAATGTTTTTTTTCACATGAAGAAATCAACAGAAAAACACTAAAGCACTTAGTATGCTGGTGTGATTATCAATAACAAGCAAAACATTGTGTAAGCTTCAACTACAATGGAAAAATACCTGATTAGTCTGCAACTTATATTGTCTATACACAACAGTCTTCACTTTGCAAAACTCTAGAATATTCAAATGTATTCCTCAGATTCAGTCAAAATATTCTTTTTATCGCATACATTGTTCTTCATATGGAAAGTGGAAGTTGCATAAGGTTTTGGACCTAAACATATCCACCACAAGTGCGTTCCGTCTCCAATTCAGGCAACTGCGTTATTCAAATGACATCTACTTCATGTATTGATTGATTGTAAACAGAATCAGTCATTAACCTAAAAGGAATGAATTTTAGCAACTGTTTTACAGGAAAGTAAATGTGTTCTACTTTTTTTCATCTTAAAAATGTGAATAAATTTTACACTTCAATAAAAGTAAGAATGAAAAACAAAACTTTTTACATATTTACTATCAAAATGAAAATATGCATAGAGAAAGGAATATCGGTATATTCTTTTTTTCAAAGCTGGTTTAAAATAATGTTTTTAGAATCTTGATTTTTTCTCTATTAAGAAAATAACATCACTTGCATAATTACACTCATTACTGTATGTACTAAAACAGCGCAAATTGTAAAACTATGTTTTCCCATGTTTGGCCTCCCAGTTTTATAGGGCAGATTACCCCATGTACACCAGTGGCCCACCATGAAGGGAAGATGTTTCAAGGAACAAGCAGATGAGTGGACGAAACACAAGTAAAATTTTAATACAGGACTAATGATAATGGCTAATAATAATAATAATAATAACATTAATAATAATAATCAGAGTTAGACT